CTTGGCGTAATTTATCATTTATATTAACACGTAAAAACACGTCTATCAATAAAAAAGGTTTAGGGCGATCGATAAGATGATAAGACCATCTATTATAAGACCGTTAAAAAAAAGACCAATCCTATGATCGATCCTGTCAATCTGTCCTAAAAAAGATTGGTACAAGACCGGTCCTATGACCGGACCAATGATCTTTCGGTCTGGATCAGATCGTTCCCATCCCTACTCGTAATTATATAAAAATGGAAGAAGGCTATATACACATATGATCTAAATATATGCCTAGAAAAGTGTAGCCTTCTTCATAATTATATTATATAAAAATAGGAGAAGGTTACACATACCTGATTTGTAATCGAATAGTATTAGCATATATCGAATAAGTTCTGAATATCTTCTGTAATTTGCGAGTTATCCAGTTTGCTAGAACTAGTAAAATTATCTAATATTAATTCATCAGGTGAGAGTTTACTGTAACTATATCGAGTATCTTTATCATTTTTCCAATAAATTTCTTTACTTGTTTGATATGAAGGTAATCTAGAAGTATCTTTACTATCAAATGAACCTATTAGATGGTAATATCTACGACTCTTATCTATAGCCTTAAATTTCAACTCATAAATTGCATGTAATGCTGAATTCAGTAAACCAAGTTTTGCTCAATCTGTTTTCAAACCTGATTTTTTAGTACTGCATGATGCCTTTGCATTATTGAATACTCGAGTCATTTTAGGAACTAAATCATGAAGATATGATATTGATTTAAGAGTATTTAAGTATCTTCTTACATTATCAGTTTTATATCTTATCCTATTATCGATATCTTTAGTGGGTGTACAAATTTTTAGTAATTCCAGGGAAATTCGATGCTTCTCAGTGTGAGTAACAGTTGTAAGCTTATCTTCTTTATAATCTTTACAGGTGATAGCTTCAACAGCAGTTTCATTATTTATACCCGCATCTCGTATTTGTCTATAAGCTCTAAACCATCTCATATGTTTATAATTCCCATACTTTGAAATAAAGTCTTCAGTTAATAATTCAGGAGAAATCTCATAACAATCTGCAATGTGATGTCAGTCTAAAGAATGTATCTCTTTTAAAGTTTTCTTCAGCTTGTTCTCCAAAAATTCAGCAGTCTCACGATCGAGAATATTAGCATTAGCTATATCTAAAATCTCCTCTGCTTTAACAATAGAAGAATTTGTCTTCACAGCTTGAGATAATGATACAATGTTTTCATCAGACTTAGGAATTAGTTCTATGATAGAAATTATCATATCTGCCTCTTTGAGAAAATTGACCATTCTTCAACCAAATAATCATTGAGAATGAAATTTCTCTAATATGAATGCTATCCATAATCAAATGGTTAGTACATCCTTATTCTGGATAATAGAATCAATATCTGGAAATATTCCTCTATTCTGAAATTCTTGTGGAAGACATTCACGTTTAGCATTTAATAATCACTGAAATAATCCCTTTTCTATAATGGGAACATTAGAAGATCTCTGCTCAATATGACATATATAATCTTTAATACATCGCATGCAGAATAACATCTGATTCGTTCTATTGTTTGTTTCTATAAAGCTATTAAAAAGACAGAATGCCTGCTCAAACTTAGGATTGGTACATAATACTCCTATTTTTAGAGTGCTAGTATAGGCAATTAGGTCTAAGTCTTTCCATGATTCTTCTACATTGCTAAAATCA